GGTGGTATTGGTACTGTGTCTGTGGGCTGAGTGGAGGTTGGTGTTCTCAAACCCATTGTGGTGGTCACCTTTGCTCCAGTCAACATTACAACTGAAGTCTGTTGAAATGCACCATGGAGCTTTGAGTGAAGCTCCTCTTGGAGACATTATGGGCTTCAATGTTAAGAATGTGTCAATCCAAGATGTTTGTTGTGGCAGTGTTGCTGCTGACAGCAAAAATGACCCACGAATGAAGGCAATTGACCTTACTGCTCAGTCGATTATTCTGAACCATCCAGGCTAAATCAGTGTTGGCTCTGCCCTTGTACTGAATTGCCACACAGCTCAGGTTGCATGGAGGTTTACTGAGCTGGAGGTAAAGATTGATTGCCATTCTGGTAAGAAGCTGGAAGAAGGCCCTAAATTCTTGAAGTCTGGTGATGCTGCCATTGTTGATATGGTTCCTGGCAAACCCATGTGTGTTGAGAGCTTCTCAGACCATCCTCCTCTGAGTCGTTTTGCTGTTGGAGGTGTGAGACAGACAGTTGCTGTGGGTGTCATCAAAGCAGTGGACAAGAAGGCTGTGGGAGCTGGCAAGGTCACCAGGTTTGCCCAGAAATCTCAGAAGGCTAAATGAGTATTATCCCTAATACCTGCCACTCTAGTCTTAATCAGTGGTGGAAGAATGGTCTCAGGACTGTTAGTTTCAATTGGCCATTTAAGTTTAATTGTAAAAGACTGGTTAAAGATAACAGTGCATCTTAAAACCTTCAGAAGGAAAGGAGAATGTTTTGTGAACTAATTCATTTTTGTTTTTTTCTTTTCTTTCTTTCTTGTTTTTTTTTTTTTTTTGCATGTGGTTAAGTTACTAGTTTTTTAAATCAGTACATTTTAATGGAAACAACTTGACCGAAATTCTGTCACAGAATTTTGAGACCCATTAAAACAAAGTTCAGCGAGAAAAAAACAAGCCAGGTAAAAAACACATATATATGTATGACCCATTTATGTGAAAAATTTTTAAATGCAGACTAATTCGTAGTGACAGAAAGCTCATCAGTGGTTTCCTGGAGACTTGGGAACAGAGAGCAGAGAGGGGTGGAAAGGAGGGAGGGGTTTAGAAGAGGCCTGTGCGGACTTTAGTATGATGTATATAGTCATTATATTGGTTTGGGTAATGGTTTCAAGGTTGTATACCTGTGTCAGGAGTTGCCAAAGTTTTAAGTATGGACAGCGTATTACATGTCAATCATATCTTAAATAAAAGAAAAAGTCACCAGGTTAGGTTTTCATTCAGAGGATAGAAAGATTACTGATACCAATTTACAAAGCCTTTAAGACAGGTAAAGCAAGCTGAGCTCTTTAAGGAGCTGTCCAATAGTTTTATGAGTTTGCTATGTGATTAAAATAACCCTGACCAGTATTCAGGAATATTAGTAGTTTCTGAGTTATTCATCCCATCATTGTATGAGTTATTCATCCCATCATTGTATGACAACTATTTTTTTCTTATAGGCCTTTTTGAGCCATATATGCAATGTAATGTTACATATCTTATGTTCTGTTATTATTCAACAGAAACTTCTTGTCTTTCCATCTAATTTAAAAAAGAAAAAGTTTAGGCCAGGTGTGATGGCTCACGCCTGTAATCCCAGCACTTTGGGAGGCTGAGGTGGGTGGATCTCTTGAGCCCAGGAGTTCGAGACCAGCCCAGCCAACATGGTGAAGCCCCGTCTCCACTAAAAACACAAAAATTAGCCAGGCGCTGTGGTGGGTGCCTGTAATCCCAGCTACTCTGGAGGCCGAGGCAGGAGAATCGCTTGAACCTGGGGGGCAGAAGTTGCAGTGAGGCGAGATCATGCCACTGCACTCCAGCCTGGGTGACAGAGTAAAACTCTGTCTCAAAAAAAAAAATAATTACAATAACATTTAAGTTAACGGTCAGGATTCTTGATTAATTATATGTGGGTCTAGATGGTAGCGGTAGGGATCATTTTCGAAAGTTGGGGGATGATGTCATTTTGGAGAACTCCCTATATGAGAAGCACTTGGTTGTTTTTGACATGAAAACTAGGGGGCAGGCCGGGCACAGTGGCTTACGCCTGTAATCTCAGCACTTTGGGAGGCTGAGGTGGGCAGATCACTTGGGGCCAGGAGTTTGAGACCAGCTTGGCCAACATGATGAAACACCGCCTCTACCAAAAATACAAAAATTAGCCAGGCTTGGTGACGCACACTTGTAATCCCAGCTACTAGGGTGACTGAGGCAGGAGAATCACTTGAACCTGGGAGGTGGAGGTTGCAGTGAGCCAAGATTGTGCCACTGCTCTCCAGCCTGGTGACAGAGTGAGACTCCATGTCAAAAAAAAAAAAAAGAAAAGAAAATTGTGGGGTAAATTTGAGTGTATGAGAATCTAAGACTATTGAATGAACATTAATTTTTTAAAATGTCCACTTAGAACTATTTAAAGTATAAATGTAAATTAGGGTTTTAATTATGAATATAAATGACTGCATATCTGTATATTTACAGAAACCAAAAATTTAATATATCTATGTCTTTAGGAAAGGATTATTCAAACATAGGGCAGGGATAGTAAAACTTTAATGTTTTTATTTCTATTTTTCTTATTTATGCCAAACTCCTTATTGTTGTTGAAGTTAGTCAAATAATTTATATAACTCAAGTCCTTATGTCTTCTAATCCTAGATAAAACCTTTGCCTCCTAAACCTGAAAAAAATAGTTTCTTTTTTGAACAGGTATTTCATTTTAATGTGATACTTGTTTTAGTTACCTGTTTAGCCTTATCTTTCAAAAAATTATTGTTAACATGTTAAAAATATATACCTATGCTATTTTTAATAGATTTTATAGTTTTAAAAAAAGATTTATATTTTAAACCAGTAATATTAAAGAAGTTTTAAGAATGTATCTTTATTGTTGCATCTTATTTTAAAGATTTTTATCATGAAAAAGTATTCTAGGTAAGGTCTTAATTTCTGATTTGTACTTTAAATGTATCCGATCATTCTCTGATCTGGCTACAGTTAATTTATATTATCAAAGATTTTTTGTGTATGCCGTTGTACCTGAATCTTACATAATTATTTTTCTGCCATTTAAATTATTTTATCTTTAATCTCAAGTGCTCACAGTTGAACAAAACAAACTCTCAAACCACCAAATCAAGGAATACTAAATCAAGAAACAAGTAGGGTTTTAGGTCATCCTTTTCAGTTCTTAATTCAAATTCACTGTTGGGTAGATTTTGGCATCCGTGGTTATTGAATCTGTAGAAGTTACAGTTCTGTGTGTAAATCTTAATAGTTAGGTTAATTTTAATAACTTCCACTCATACATATTTGGAGGTCCTTTGTAATTTATGAAAGGTAGGATGGACCTCCCCCTCCTTTTTCCCCTTTACAGGGTCTCAAAAATAATAAAAATAGGCTTTCAAAATAATAAGATTAGAGAAACTCATTTTTAAAATCGGTCTGTTATTTACTGTAATTACAGGTTATATGTGAAATAGAAACTGGGTAATACCTGTTTCTCAGGAACATTCTAAAAATATTCATATTGTATATTATTTTCCTTATGTAATTTTGGTGTCTCCTAGTAATCCTACATAATCCCGAAGTCCATGTCTCTAGCCATTTTGGACTCTTTTATCACGATATCAATGGCTTTTATCTTGACCCTCAACTTCTAAGACTTAGGTTTAACTGGGACATACTGGCCCTGTCATACTTTTCATTCTGTTGGTAGCCATTTGTTCCCTTATAACTAGGAAGGTACTACATTAGTAAAATGCAGTGGCTTGTTTTCTCCTCCAGAAATCAAGGAATTGGCCATCCGTTTAGAGAACATACCACTATTTTGGGGAATGTTACAATTGGAAATTTTAAAAAATATATATATTTAAGTCACAAAAGAGGATTTTTTCCCCTTTGGAAAATACAGCCTCAGGCCTGATTTTACTTTTCCAGAAATTTGTGCCTTAGCTGTGGCAGTAAAAGATTGATTCTGTAGTTCTAGTATATTTTAATTAAGCCCAGATTTAGCATTTGTTCTATATTTTATCACCTTTTATTTAACTTTAGCTGGCACATAGCTGATAATACTCGTTTTGGAGTTTACATTTGGGTTAGCCTGGTGACTTGTTACCTTCCAGATCTAGTATTTTGAACTCTAACTTGGCAGTATTTTGAACTCTTAACTCATTCATATTAAATGGGGAAGCTATTATTTCTGCCTCCTGTGGAAATTTAATGTGGACAATATGTAGACTTTTTATGAATCTTACGTATAGTCTCATATGTTCTAGTATTTCTTAAAGCTAAAAATACCATGCCACTTGAATATATAAAGAGTTGTAGCGTAGTACCACTGTGAAAAAGATGTTTTCCATGTAATCTCATAGCCAAATATTTTTCAGTGTAACAGGTCACACATGGTACTGTATGGGCATTAGGATCACTTTAGTTTTTCTTATATCTTGATTCCTCCCATATTTGCCTTGTTTTTAAATGTTTTTCTAACCTTTACTTTGTTACTTAAATACATGATACCATATTATTAGGGAAATGTTTGAAGTAACTACAAAAAAGAAAGTGATTAATATTGGAAGAAAACAGTTTTGACCTTTATCTTGGTAGAGGTGGTTTAAAGATACTAAACTCGAAACTTGTTGCTCAGTTTTGAGGTAATGTCAACCTCCCGGTTCTCTAAAACGTAGTAGTTTGGCAATGATGCATGCTTGATGATAAAGACAAATTTTACACATTACTGAGGTTAAAATTCTGCAAATGAAATGATTAAAATCTTCAAATTTGATGATCAAATTTCCTTTAAGAAATTTAATTATGACCTACCAAAATATGGAACCTAAAACACATGTTAATCCTTTCAAGAATATATTTTACTTAGTAAATAAAGCACTGTGGAATATGCCTAGTAGATTCAATGTCTTTTTTTGGCTTAAAGTGTGTTAACTTACTATATTTGATTTTTAAATAGACACCAAATCCTACTGCAAGCGAGTTTATTCCTAAAGGAGGATCAACCTCCAGGCTGAGTAACGTGTCCCAGTCAAATATGTCTGCCTTCTCTCAAGTTTTCTCTCACCCATCCATGGGAAGCCCTGCTACTGCTGGATTAGCACCAGGTAAGTTGAGTAACTATTTCCAGTGAGTTCCAGATACCAAATCTGTAAGCACCATTTACTATTAATTTATCAGAACTAAAATTGTATACTTGAATGATTCACACTTGAACAAATTATGAGCTTTATGTTCTAGTTTTTGGCACCATAGGCCAAATGTGTAGTTGAGAATTTTAAAGCAAAATTTAAATATGAATGAAATTACATATAAGAATTTTTATATATAAAACTCACAAAAAAATTTAAAGGGGAAAATGGTTATTTAGGAAAAAAATCTATCTTTTTGTATTTCTCTATTTTTAAAACTTCGTGCTGTTTCACTAAAACTTATAAAGGCATCAGAAATAATGGGAATATTTATGTACGTATGCCTCAGATCTACATATGCCTTTCGTATCTACATATGCCTTTTGTATTAACTTTCTAAAAAATAATTTATATCTTTCTACATCTTTAGATGGTATTCCCTTTCAGATGTTTGATTATAAATGCTATAGTAGTAATTTTAAATTGGGTAAAGTATTATAAACAGTAGTAGGAAAAAAAAATATATTAAATAAGGGATCATTGCAGTAGAGAAAACACTTTTTAGTCATCTTCTGCCAAGTGCACCAATAATGACAGAAGAATCTGAGCAAATGTGCTTGTACTCCAGAGTTCCTGAAGGCATAGTTCAGTGCGACCCTTTGAGAAATCTATGATTCTTTGCAGTCTTCGTTTTTATCTTAAGAATTCATGCAGATTTTTGCGTCTATTACTCCATAATGTTTATTTTAATATAAAAATATTTAAATTTTTAAAATTAACATCACTTATCCCCACTGCTATATACCTTGATTTGGAAAGCAAGGTGATATGCACAATCATATTTAATTAATAGTAAGTCCTGAGCAGATTGGTATCTTATGTTTGTCAAATGTTTGAGTTGCACACACAAATTATGCTTCTAGAACCTATACAGGAAAATCAGCACTTGGTCTTGGACATTAAAAAAAAAAAACAGAAACAAAATGAAATATATATACCCACTAAAAGCCAAAGGATGTATCTAGATCAGCTGGGAACTGGTACTGCCTCCAGGGCTTAATCCAATTAGTAAGTAAATCTTTGATTTAAATACTGATATATCTAATTCAAGGACCTCTTTGGGACGAAAAATGGGAGAAGATAAAGATAAAGGGGAGTAGAGCATCTGTTTTAGCATTAAAGTATCAGTGTACTCAGAGATTAATAACCTTGTGTTGCTAAGGATTTTGTCAGCACATTTCCCCACCATTCTTTCTGTCTTACTACCCTCCTCCCTTCCACTCCTCTCCCCCGACTTGTTCCCTTACCTTTTCTTCTACTTTGATTTTTTTTCAGGTTCATTTAAATTTGTAAGCATTTTCCTTTCTTCCCTAGAAAGCAGTGTCAGAATTGAATTATCTCTGGTAGCCTAAAAATTTTTTTGTAAGTAATGTACTACTATGATTTTTCTTTCATTGAGGTGTGTTTGCATTGTTTACATGAGCATAATCTACAAGTGAGCTACACATTTTAAAATTTCTTAGACAGGCATTGTCTAGACTTCTGAGCAGTGTTGTAATTCAACTTTACATGTCTCTTTCCAAAGCACCCGCAATAATGGGATCCATATAGCAATCAGAAAACTTTGGCCTTCGTAATTACATGCCAATTTATTTTGGTCTAACAATGCTTCCTTCCTCGTATCAGAAATAAACATTTTGTTAACTTATTTCATGAGACTAATTTAGGCATGCCATTCAGAAAAAAATTAGCCTTTTCAATTGGAGGAGTTAAAAATATTAAAGGGAATTTTAAATTTAAAAACACTCAGTTTAAAAAAATCCATTAATGCTTATGGTATAGGTATCAGCTTATTTGGAGGTAGGTATATTCATTGGTCCCATTTGGACCTCCCAGTTGAAACTTAGGGTGAAATTAATTAATTTAAAAGTTAAATTAGCTGAAAAAATATTCTTCTACATAGTCCTAGCATTAAATGGTTATTCTAGCTCCTCTTAACGATGAAAGTAATCACTCCCTGGAACCATTGGAAATAGGTCATTATATCATATGACATGTATTCTTGAATTCTAGTAACTATTATTTTAAGAGTGCTCTTCATTCACATGACAAGTCAGTTAAAATTTTTTTAATAATGATGAATGATTTCACATTAATTATTTTTTCTGTTTGGTTATTGGCTTAACACTCTGGAGATGAGCAAAGGAAAAAACTTTGAGTCTGCCTTTCGGAAGAACCGTTGTACTCTCAGTGTCTTCCATCATTTCTTACCTACAAATGTTATTTTGTTTAAGGGTTAGGGTTCTTGACATTTACATTGTAAGGTTATAGAATAAAGACAGAGTTTATTTACCTATGTTAGTGGTGATTTAGTTTATTTTTAATGCTTACTATTATAGGTGTAACTCATTATTTTCAGTTACAAGTTTTTAATTTTCTTTTAAAATTTCTATCCCCAAAACTATTGCCCTTGAAAGTATCAAATTACTATAAAATATGAAACCTTAAATACTTTGACACTTATGTAAACTAGGGTAACGTCATTTCATTATGTATGGGAAAGTACGTCTCTAAATATATTTTTGACCAAATATATTTCTCAAAATTTTTAGGCCAATTTATTTTGGCCTAATATTTGAGCAAAGTTGAGTGGATATTAAGAGTGCGTTTCTTCAAATTATGAGGAACAAAGGCATAATGCCTGGCACAAAGGAGACCCTGAGTGAATCACATTGCTTTTTTAAAATTTGTTTTGATCACTTAAGAAAAAATAAATCATATTTTTGTGTATGTCTCAATGTAAGAAATAAAACTTTATACAAATATTTGAATTTAATCACAGCTGATTAGGTTTAAAAGACATTAAAATATGTGGCATCTATTTCTATAAAATTGCATACACACCCATTTTATTCTTTTTTAATTTAAGGAATCAAGGATTTAGAGATACAGTTTTGTTATGCACATTGAACCTAGAACAGTAGCTGCATTTCTAAGTGTCTTTTGTGAAGGTAGTTGTTTTAATGATACCAAAGATATGGCACTTGGGCTTGTCTTTGAGAATCCCTACAATTATGCGTATTTTTATTTTTAAATATGCATTTTTCTCTGGCAACAGCTTTTATTATCCTCTCTCAGGTTCACAGCCTTCCAAAAGTTAAGAACCACTGTTTTTTTTGTTTTGTTTTTTGTTTTTGAGACGGAGTTTTGCTCTTGTTGCCCAGGCTGGAGTGCAGTGGCGCGATCTCTGCTCGTTGCAACCTCCACCTCCCAGAGAACCACTGATTTAACACAACTTAAGCAAGACTAATTTCCAGAGTGTAGTAAGAGTACTTTCAAGTAACACATAGCCTAAAGATACATTTTTCTACTAGCTCTTGCTTAGGCAGAGGGTTTTTTTGACTAGATCTCTGGAAACCAAATTATGAATGTGCTTAGTATATGAAATAATAGTTTACACTTTAATTTTTGTGTCATGAAAAGCCTTTTTTTTTTTGAGACGGAGTCTCGCTCTGTCCCCAGGCTGGAGTCCAGTGGCGCCATCTCAGCTCACTGCAAGCTCCGCCTCCCGGGTTCACGCCATTCTCCTGCCTCAGCCTCCGGAGTAGCTGGGACTACAGGCGCCGCCACCACGCCCGGCTAGTTTTTTGTATTTTTAGTAGAGGTGGGGTTTCACCGTGTTAGCCAGGATGGTCTCAATGTCCTGACCTCGTGATCCACCCGCCTCGGCCTCCCGAAGTGCTGGGGTTACAAGCGTGAACCACCGCGCCCGGCCGAAAAGTAATTTTGTCATGAGAACGAATTGCTGAATGTCCTTTTTCATCAGAATTTTTTTCCCAAGTATTTTTAATAGTAGACATAGTTAACTAAGTCTTCGTGTACTTTAGATTTAATTACCTCAGTGTTAACAAATTTGCAGTGCCACAGTGTGTTTGAAAGTGACTTAAGTGCAGTGGGAACAGCACACATTTCTGGGTAGTGTTCTTGTGTATCATTTGGTGGTTTAGTGCAAAGTTGTGTCTCAGGAATTGAGCATCTCTCCTTCTGCTTAATTATTATGTGTGGGCCCTTGGGAGAGGCAGAGGTGAGTTCTTGTATTTGCAAATGTCATCACTGATTTATAAATGAGAAAACGAGTCACGGTGACTTTCAGCATTTTTCAATATTCATTCCTTCAAGATGAAAATAGTGCAGGTTTATTTTTTAATCATTAGATACGTTTTATTGTAAATTATTATTACTTTAGAGAGAGGGTCTCACTCTGTCGTCCATCCTGGAATGCAGTGGCATGGCCTTAGCTCACTGCAGCCTCCAGCAATTCTCCCACCTCAAACTCCTGAGTAGCTGGGTCTACAGACACATGCCAATTAAAAATACTCTGTTTAAAATTTTTTTGTAGAGACGAGTTCTCACTTTGTTTTCCAGGCTGGTCTCAAACTAACCTCAAGTGATCCTTTCTCTTCAACCTTTCAAAGTGCTAGAATTATAGGGGTGAGCCATCCCACTCAGCCTTTGTTGCACATTATTAAGGCAAGCTCATATAATTGATATGGGGAGAATCATTTAATTATTATACCAAAATTAGCATTATTAAATAATTGTATTCATTTATTACCAAGTTTATTGTAGGTTTTTGGGAAAATAAATCCAAAGAAAATTATGTTCTTAGATCCAGTTTTTAAAAAATACTGAACAGTCATTTCTTACATATTCCTGAGGTTATTGGTGCCAAATTGGTGGGTAAAATTGGCTAATACCCTTTTTTAAAAAAAACATTTTTAGCTTGAGAAATATGTGAGGGAGAAAGGGAAGGGAAAGAAAAAGGGGAAATTAATGTTTGTCATTCTTGTTCAGAAATATCAAAACTTATGAATGTTGTAGACTAAAAGTAGTTATTTGCTCATAATGTTGAAGGGTTGGGATAAGCAGATCATTTTCAGTTTTAAAGTTCTGTGCTAAAAAATAAAATTCCGTGA